CTGTCTATGCTGCCCCAGAACGCCTCGCTGGACATTTCTCTTTTTCTTCCTGGGTACAGTGACGTGCCCATACCCAAATGGAGCCGTTACATTACGGAGCTGTTACGTTAATCCGAGGATTGGTCCAAATGGACCAATTCGCGGACTTCCTCACACACACACACTCAATCTTTTCTCAGCTGCAGCTCCGCCGATTTCTCCTCCCTGAGACGGCGGGACGCGGCGAAGCTGTGAGTCGGTGTGTGTNAGTATCATAGTACTTGAACATAATTGTTTTTGTTACTTTCGTTGCAGTTGTATGTCTTAAATGTAATGTAAATGTTGCCTTCGTGTGTGGTTCGGGGCCATCTTCGCGCGAAATTCACAATTCCATATTTGTTTGTCCATCGGGTGTCAATTTCGGGACAGTTTGACGCGGGCTTTAGTCAATTATTTGTGGTTGTGCAAATATAACAGATTATACACCTGTTCAGCTGGCTCAGTCTTGATATATGTTATGGTATTCCACTTCACTTCCAATCTGGAAGCTGTATATTGCTTTACTAACTTCCATAATATAATAGTTATGTGTTACACATACTAGTAAATTGTGGTTGACAGGTGGTGTGGGGTCCCTTAAGCTTAACAATATATATACTTGAAAACATTTCTAAATGTCTTACAAAGGAGACTATAAATAGGTGGATTTCCATAATAATGCAAAAAAAGTCCTCAATGTTTAAAACCTCTTTTATACTCATAGAACACTACAGTACATATCATTACATAATATTTTCTTTTAAAATAAAGAATATTTGAATGACCAATTAGAAGCTGATGTTAGACTATCAGATATATGTGAAGAAATATAAAATGTAATATAAGAGGAAGTGAAGGAAAATGGTCATCTGTCATAATTATTGGTTCTTGATACGTTTAAAACCCTTCTGAAAATAGTGGGGGTCTTTCATCACATGTCTCCTGATTGCATTTAGTATATCTTTTCTTAAGCAGGTGACAAATAATTGCAAAGAGTCATTAACAGGGACATGCACAGATACGGGCTATTGTTGCCCGGGCAACGGCCCGTCTCCCCTTTTTGGCTGACCTGCCCCTCTGGAGAGAGCAAGAGGTTTTTTTTTCTTCTTTCTGTTGTGGTCGACTCAACATGATAACAATTAGTATTTTAGTGTCTCGCTGCGGGAAACACACCAGCTTTCTTTAAACCAGGTAGGCCTACATTTTTATTATTTATGTTCTATATCTATAACATAAGTGTGTGATTACACATGTTACGTATTATATATATAATATGTATTATAGGCTACTGTATTGGTGCCGGTGCGTTGAGACCACCTCTAGTGTCGGATTTTGGAAAATGGATTTTGAGTTTATTGTCATGGCAGGGACTTTACTTCCTCTTGACACCGTCGGTTATTTACAAAAAAACACCTACATATATTGTTATTGTACTTCTCTCTTTCTGTGTCTTTTCATCTTCTCCGTAAACTCCCTCAACGGGGCCACTCGCTCTCTTTTCTTGATCGCCCTCTCACAGGAGAACCCTTCACTGCCTGCTTCATTGTAGGATTTCTGCCATGTCTCTACTTTCATTTGACCATCTCTGTTATTAAGTTATGGAACACTAAATAAATAAGTAATTAGATACCTTACCGTTACTGCGTTCATAAAGAATGATAAGAATAAGAATAATGCGTATTGAACTGGTTTCATTAATTGGTGAGTTTATTTAAGGTAATTATAGAAGCCCTATTTTATCAGTATGACTGCACAGCAGTTACAATGGTCAAACTGCATTGAATTGTCCCCATTTTTTCTTTAATAGTTACTAACATTAGATATTTTAATAAGATATGGAAAGTAAAACAAAATATGTCCCTGGTTTTCATTTGAAAAATCAAGTCACTGAGTGCAAGTAGTTGCCTTAGCTTATTTTGTTATGAGATGATGTGAATTACTGTTCAAATTAGTAAATGTAATAATCGTTTTGGTCTTATTTTTTTTTTCGGGGGGAGGCCCTTTTTCCAGTTTAGAGCAATAGCCCCCCCAAATGTCTGTGCACGTCCCTGGTCATTAAAGTCAACAGCTTTAATGGCAACAAATGAGCTACAGTAACTGACTGTGTTGTTATGGTGATTGAGGTCTTTTTAATAATCCAGTATTTATGCTGTAACTTTTCTGCAACTTGTGTATTTAAATGGTACAGTACATTATATTTGATACCATCAAACAGTACACTTGGAGCTAAACTGTTGAACTGTTGTCTTGCTAATTTCTTAGCACAGTGATCATGGATTTAGCATGGATGTTCCCCACTTGATATTCCCCACTTGCATTGTGCATGTTTTCACATATGTACTATATTTCCTTATGCTAACCCCCCCAACAAAAATATCACTCGAAAAAGGCATTTCAAATGTTTTAGCTATGTAAAAGCATTATAATGATAATATTTTTTTCTAGGAGACATCAAAGTCTTTAGAGGTATGTTTTAAGTGGGTACGAAATCATCTTATTCCTCCTTTTGAAGCCAAGTGTACATAATATCAGGAGACTGGCCAATCAAACAGGTTACCGACACACTGCTGAATAATGTGTAAGGTAAAGTGTAAACCTTTAGCTGGATTTGATTTTTATTTAGGTTGGTGGATTCAGGGTTAACATTTGTAGATTTGTACAGGAAGGGTGGAAGCCAAGGAGCAATGCAGCTTGTCATATAACTCATGCTTATTCCTTCAAAGCTAAGGAATAAACATCAATAACTTTAACCTCTGGTGCTCTGAGTGCATAAGCACCATGCTCATGCACTTATATGTAAAATGCAAACTCAGAAGCAGCTATTGAAAGGATTAATGTTCAAATCCATAATTGTTTGGAAGAATTCTGTGACAAAGGGAGCAGGTCTGACATTTTCTCCAGCAGCAGCAACATTTTCTTTAAGAAACAGGATAGCTTGTTCTTGTCCTTCTCCTCAGAAAATATGTCTTTGAATGCAGAAGTTAAACGTTTGACTGATCTGTTTTCCAAATGTCTCCATTTATAATTGGACCTAAATGTTTGCATATACTGAGGTAAATACATGCGGTATCGTGAAGACTGAGAACAAAAACGGTCTTGATGACTAATGACCCATCTAAATGAGATACACTTTAATAATCATGCTGCATTTTGTAAAATCATTTTTCTAAATCCTCTTTACTTCAGAATCCTCCAACATCATGATGGATGGTCATACAGGACAGTTGGCACATCTTTCTAAAATACATAATTTTCTAATACATACTTAATACTGATATCTATAGCTACTCCATCTTCATTTAACCTTGACATTCTCAGTTCAATGCACACAGACGTCAATACCACTGTCAGTGATATAATGCAGATTTGTTGTCATCATTCCTGTTTTGATATCCTCTAATAACCTTAGGACTGAAGCTGATCTGCTTACATGTGTAATCCTTCAGCTTCTCAATTGCTAGCATGTTTTTCTATCCGCATCCATAAACCGGGCCAGAGTGCTCATTTCACACTAAATGCTTTGACACAACACATAGATGGTGAAGATAAGCACTCTGACCAAGCAGCTTCTGTGATACATTGACACTTTATAATATAGGAGCACATCTCCTGGAATGGCTTTTTCAGGTGTCCATTAAAGCAGCCCTATTGTGCAGCAAATGACATGTGATTTCATCCCACGATTCCAAAGTTCAGTGTTTCCCACAGATTTGAAATATACTTGGGGGGTTCGTGGTAGCGGGGGGTTAATATTTATCATTATTTTTTTTTTAAATGGTAAATGTATTTAGGAACCTATCAATGTGATTTTAAGTGGGAGTGATTTTTTTTTAAATGTTGGAGTTAAATGCATCAATCTGTTGCATTTTGAGGGGAAAATAAAGAGACTAGATCAAGGGCTTTGATTTATGATCTGATTTATGATCTGTGTGACAGTGGCCATGTCGGCAGGCCACATCATGTAGACAGCCAGTCACCCTGTGTGAGGCAGGCCACTTAACAGGCCAGGCCATCGGGAAACCCCCCAGTCCTCCCGATGGCCAGTCCGGGACTGGGTACAGGAGGCGTAGAGCGAGGGATCATTGTCCACAAGTTAATCGATCGCAGATGGTGTCATGGTCGCAGACGAATACAAAAAAAACAAAACTAAATGGGTCGCGAAATATACTTGGGCGGCCGTTAATATACCTGGGCGGCCCGCCCAAGTATAGTCTATGTGTGGGAAACCCTGAAGTTGTAATACTGGATGGCATCCTACCAGTGTACAGCATCCCTTTAGTGCACAATTAAAGAAGCTTAAAGAGGCCCTATTATGATTTGAGGTTTTCCCTTCCCTGTAGTGTGTTATATAGGTTTGTGTGCATGCAAATGGAGTTCCCTTCAGAGGGACTTTCTCTCCCACACACTCCCTTCCCATGCGTGAAACGCCTCCATTGGACTCCTTTGTGAC